CTTTTAGCAAAGCGATTAATTTGTTACTAAACTCTTGGTCGAGTATTTGGCTGATGAACGTTGGGCGATCTTCTCCTTCATTGCCAATATTTACTTTGATCAGAGGGTCTTGTACTTGAGCGTATCCAGGTTTGGCGATCCGCATTACATCGTCGTCCAGTTCCCTTGTAAGTACTTTCTCTTCTAAACAGTCCACCTTGTTGACTTCTCAGCCAATGCTTTGCTCTAACTCGAATACTGTCAACTTATCCTTCAGCGCTTTTAGGGCTGTCTCTTCTTTCGCCTTGTCATTGCATTCCTTATTGAAAGCCATCAGTCTAGCTTTGAAGGCCTGAATGTCAGCCATTTGCTTTCGTAACTCAGAATCCATTCAAGATTCCTTGATTATTCTTTTGCCAGTCACTGGCTCTTCCAGGGCCACTATATTTGGCCTCATCTGCTTGAACATCTCAATGAGTGCGTCTACTGAGAACGGTTCTTCTCTTTGCACGACGACTTGAGTTTCTTCCCTGTCTTGTACTACCCTGACAGGCCCATAGTTTCCTTCGTACATGAACTTTTCCATCGAGTTTGCTTCTAGGACAAAAGGCCTATGATCGGCTTGTACCACCTCTGCTTCACCTTTGTCATTCCAAAAGATCAGGCATTGATGGAGCGACGAGGGTATACAGCGGCTTTCGTGTATCCAATCTCTTCCTAGTAGCACGTTGTAACTAGTAGGACCATCAATTACAAAGAAGACAGTGGTCCTAATAGTCGTCCCTATAGTTATGTCCAATGGCATAACTCCCTTAGCTGAAGTTGCTCCTCCATTGAAACTAGTGAGGATGACTTCTGTAGGAATCATGTCACCCTCTGTCTTTGCGAACTTCCTCATCATCCTAGATGGAATGGTGTTTATAGCTGCTCCATTGTCGACAAGCACTTTTGTCATATTAACTAGAGCTTTAACGTATAATGGCCTCAAGTGTTTAGTCAATTTCATGGCTGGCCGTTTAAAAATAACCTTTTCGGCAGCCTCTATTTCTACTTCCTGCTTGTTTTCTGTTGAATTATCCCCCTGTGATAAGTCGACGTGCAGCATATCACGCTGATCCTCTGTCTCCTGAACCTCCTTTCTATTTCTTTTTAAATGCTTCCTCATCAGTTATCCAACCTGTGGGATGGGGCATTATTCTTGGAGGTGACCCATACTTTTCAGAGCGAGGCACTCTCTTCTTCCTTTTGGATGTCCCGTGCAGTACCTAGAAATCGAAAGGACGCCCAGATGGTTCCCCTAACAAGTCTACTTCGCGAACCCCCTCTTAATGTAGTTGCTTAAACAGAGTATTGCGCGATACTCCTCTCTTTCTTCTTTCTGCTTCTAGGTCGATTTCTTCTTCAATGTCTATCATCCCATCGTCTTCCTCGTCATTGTAGGCCTCTCTAGAAGTCTGGCCTTCTTCACATACCAACACGCAAGCTTCTCCTTCGTTGTCCTCCCTCTCTTCTTCTTTTTCTTTATTCTTGAATTCATTGGCCAGTAGGTAATTATTGGCCACTAAAGGAGGCAGCGTACCGAATTGGATAGCAAGGAGCTGATCTGGATCTTCTTCATCCCTTCTGTCTCGCTCAAACCTTGATCTCCCAGAAGAAGTTTCTGGTAGTTCCTTCATTGATTCATATGTACTGGTCTCTTCACTATTTTTGAGGACATTTTGATTTGCTACCTTGAGTAGTTTAGGCGCTTTAGGATGTGGCATTCCCTGTTGCTGCCTCATCATCCGTCCGTAGTTTCGTTGGAAATACCTTTGTTGGGTCCTAGTCATCTCATCGAAGGGTATTGCCCTTCCTGCATTGTACTGGAATGAATGCCATACATTTGGCTGGCGAGGTTGCGACCTGATTGTTCTTCCATTATCTGCTGGCCTGAACTGCCTCTCAAAAGGCGGTCCTCTATAGAATGATGTACCTCGCCCTCTACCAGGCTGAATGTTTGGGAAGAAGGTAGGGCGATGAGGATGCTGACATGTCCCTGGTTTCTCCGTGTTTCCATTCACTTCTCTTTTACACCTTGCACACAAGACGTCTTCGTCCTTTTTTGGTTCTTTCCCCTTGATTCGTTCAAAGACGCTGGGATGTGGTCTAGGATCCTCTTCCCCATCATCTACGACCAACTTGAATTTTAGCAACTTGTTTTTAAATCCAAATGTCACCATGTTTACTCCAAGTGGCTGTGGGAAAGGATTTTCGTCCACTACCATCTTTTTCTTATCATCGAACGTAATTCATCCTGATTCAATGGCATCCTGCAATACATGACGAAAAACCAAGCAATTGTTAGTCAAATATGACCATGCATTATGCCACTTACAATATTTTTTACCCTTAATTTGTTCAGGGTTTGGCAATTTGTGCTTATCGCTCAATTTTATCTGCTTATCCCCATATAATTTATCAAATATAAGTTCAACTTTAGTTACGTCGAACGAGAACGTTCTAGCTTTTATGTTTCCATCTTTTATGGGCTCATCTTTGCCCGATGGTCTGGGCTTGGTTATTATAGGACAAGTATATGTATCTCCTTTGACCGATTCGGCCAAACACATTTCGACCTGATCGTATAACTCGTCGTCGATGGTATGAACGTTAAAATTTGGGTCTTTGTAATAAGTCCCTTTACTAGAATTTTTCAT